GGGTATGGTAAAACAAAAGACCATAGCAGTATACTGCTTACTCTCTCATTTTAAAAGTATTATTGCCAAACAATATTTCAGCAATGTTATATACAAAAGCCCCAAAATAAGCAGCTTGGCACTGTGCTTTGATGGCACCAACCTCCTCTTTGTGTTAAATCAGAAGAGCAGTTTGAACCACTGTGAGCCTGTGTGCTGGTGGTGGTTTTCTGACATCTCTTAGGCAACAAGTGCTGCTGCACTAAAACTCACCAATATTTCCAACTTCCAGAACTAGAATGTGATTTCATAATGACACACCTAACTCTAGGGGAGTAAGATTCCTTCACAAAGAATGTGAATATTTATCCTGAACCATGAGATTTATGTGTGTAGTCCAGCTAATTGAAAATGAAATGGAAATAAATTGAAATCAACTTCAAGTTTTAATCAGCCTGAAAGACTTCAAATATCGTAGCAATAAAGCAAGTAATTTTCTTCTGGAAAATATACAATAATGTCATTGTTTCGGTACTTCTAACTGATGGAGGAAATAGAACGAAGACGGACATTTGATGAATACAACAGATAGGTGGCGCTGTGGCTCATGGCCGACCTGGAATTACACTCCAATAGTCTGGGTCTGAGGCCACATCCCAGGTTTAAACATCAGAATTAGAAAGTCAAATAGGTACCTTGAAAAGGCATCTAACTCGCACAGGAGCTAAGCTTTTTGCTTTGGCAAATAAACTTTTATAACTTCTAAGGTGTCCATTAATTTTCTATTTGGTTAAAGAATGTTTTTGGTTAATACTTGAATTTTAAGCATTTGCAAGACTTGTCATGACTTTTATGACATAGAATAATCAAATTCTAATGAAATATTGGCTTTATTAAGTATAATGAGTTAATAGCTATGAGACGTAATCACTAACCCAAAGAAAACTCTGTGCTGGTAACTTGTGGCAAATTATCAAAATACTTCTACTTGGTAAAGGCAGCTTTCCTTTTTGGCTAAAAACACACTCTGCTTGGCTTCAGAAGCCTTGTGTCCAATATCTTGGTTCCACCCCTTCCTGGCTGCTGCACCAACTATGAGTTACTTGGCTAGTTAATTGTCTGAGATTCACTGTTCTTCTAGTTCAGAGGTTACCACATCTGGGGTCCTAGGTCTCTCCAAGCCTCACAGGGGAACTGGCAAAGCTTATCTTCAGATGCCTACCATCCTCCTGGTTGCTGGTTCCTATTTCTTCTAGACTCGGTTTCCATATCTATAACGTAGGGATTAAAATCTCTACCTCATAGGGTTGTTGAGAGGATTCATGGATAGAGCCCCTGTAGAGGGCAGAGCAGTGGTTGGCACTTAGTAGCTACTAAAAAATTATGTGTCTCCTCTCTCCCCCACCTCACAACTGGACAAATAAATGCAAATAATGTGGCAATAGTTTAGTAAGCCAATCTCTTATAGAATATTTTGTTTTAACAGAGGCCTTCAAAGTGATCAGTCTACCCAGGGATTCACCAGTCCCTCAGCCCCCCTCTCCCACTGGGGTAGAAGGGAGGTGGGGCCTTTTAGGCAGTACTCAGACCACAGAGGATAAGCAATGAGCCTTTCCAGGGTGTCTGCAAGCTGGTGCAGAATGCAACGTCAATCTCACCAAAAAAAAAAAAAGTTTAGAACTTGTAGGTGTGTTTTCCATTGCAGATGTGTATTAATACTGAAAATTTATACTCAAACTGCAGTAAATCATTTACCCAGTCAAAAGCATCACAAGATTTTCAGGGTAGGAACCCACATGGGAGCTGATGAAATGAGGAGCTGGCTTATCTTTCCAAGAGTTCAAAACCTCCTTGCCTCAGTGACCAGCAGCAAGAAGTTCTGGCTAAGACGATGGTAACTGAGACCCAGAGTAACGTTTAGCCTGTAAATTCTTTCCTCTCCGGGAGGATCCTTTAATCAGTGCTGGCTAAGGAAAGTGCCCATTTCCTAGAATGTAAATGAGAGAAGAGAAACTGAAATGGAGAAAGAAGGAACACACACCACTGCGTTTTGAAGTTCTCTAGCCAGAGAGTTGTATCATGTCTTTTGTTTCTCTGGCCCTGGGACGGGCCCCTTTCCACCTGGCGTCTGTCCCCTCCCTTCCCAGGGTCTCCAGAGGAGGACACAGAACTCCCTTGAAAGCAGAGCTAATTGGTAGGACATTATCGCGCCGGAGTGTTTAGCGCAAACTGTGTTTCAGAGAAACCTAGAGCCAAAAGTTACTTTCCAAGTTTGTGGGGCTCCCCGACGCCTTCCTGGGTCAGTAACGCTTGCGAGTCAAAGTGGTCACATCGCTTGGTCTCGGGCTGGAAAGGGTCCCCGCGGTCAGATGGCATTTCGCACCCAGCCCCCTCACTCAAGCCTGGCCCGCGCGGGGACTGAAACTTGTTATCTTAGCACAGAACCAGGACTCCAGGCTTGTGTAAACACCACGCCAGCCCAGCCCAAACGATTCCCTTGGATGCCTCCGCTGTAATTATTTATCTCACATATAAATCAGGATTCTGCTGACAAATCATCGTGTTTCCACTAAACAGAAGGCTGTCCTGCGAAGCCCTTCTCCTCACGATTCCGTTTAAAGGTTTGATAATATCTGATGGTTCCCTAAACCGACCTGCCCAAGACACCGACCGGGAGACGATTAAAGAGACGACTGTGCCACCCCAGTATACACGTGGGTACAACTCCTCAGGCAGGCACATGGAAGGGATGCGGAACCGAGGGCGGTTATTTTCCAGTCAGTGGGTCTGATGGAGAAAGATGCCAAACACACTTCCCGAGCCAGCTGAACTCCGCGGGCACCTAATCATTGCCAGATGTGAGGAGGGCGCACCGAGAACATCCCGGAGTCCCAGAGAAAACACTCGGCCAAGCAGCCCATCGACTTCTCGGACGGAGAAACGGCCACAGCGGGGAGGAGAGAGGGCCCTGGAGAGAGTGGGGGGCGCTGCAGAGAGAGCGGAGAACGGACGGGGGTGGAGGGTCATGATGCCTCCATTCTCCTGGGCATATTTTTCCAATTAAAAAGTTGGGAACTGGAATCCGTAAACAATGAGTTGGGGCTTCAAAGTACTTTGCAGAGACTCGATGGGGAGGGGAAGACTTGCACGCTTCAAAACCCCAACCTCTAGGTCTCCGGCGGTGCCCAACTCTGGGGCCGGGGTCGCCCCCAGGGTGCGCGCACGAAGCGGGCGCCGGCTCTCCGCGCAGAGAAAGTCCGCGCAGGGTGCACCTCCGCCCCCTCTCGCGCGCCCCGAAGCCCGCCCTACCTTTCATGGTGACTGAGGAGACGCACCGCCAGCCGGGG